TATCAGTTTTATACTAATTTATGCAATGCTTTTTATACTAATTTATGCAATGCTCCCCCATCTGTCTTTTACTCGGTGTATGGAGGTTAGGAGTTCAGAGCTGTGTATGTAATTCTATGTGACATCATGGATAGAGCAAACAATGTAGCAACACTTTTGTAATGTAAGCGAATGAGGAATAACTGGGGGTAGCATTACATTTGATCCAAAGTAGTTATTCGTGGAAGATGTTTACTGTCATCACCTTTAAAACAGATTTCCTTCCAATTCTAATCTTTTGTTTTAGAAATTCAAGAGTTTTACACAGGGCAGTGGCTTTGCAAAAATTCTATAGGAATGTTGGCCCTGCAGCCAGTACTTTGACCATCACAAGAATAACATGGTGTGAAATTTGAAACAGTGGTGAAAGTGTGTTGGGTCAACTGCAGGGCAAAATTTGGTAGTATCAATTGACTCTTTGTAGAGCACCACCAATAGAAAATGTCCAAAAATGGATGAGGCGGGCAAGAGATGCTTCCTTTTTCTGCTCATAATTCATTAGCCAAATATTTTCCCTTCGGGACAATCCATTAGCCAAGATTTACCTCACACCTTTTAGCCCATAAGTACTCAACTGTTTCCTAAGCCTGATGTGAAAAGGCAGCTTTGGGTTTAAGAATGAACATCTGTTTGGTTGCTATACAAAAGGTAAAAAATTGAAATCCCAGCCTAATTTTATCCCTCCTCCCACCCCCCATTAGTAGTAGGTATGCAGTACATCATTATTTCTAAGTCACTATGGAGACTTAACATACATAAGTTCACAATGGCAATGTCACATCTTTGATTTCAATGTGCTGTCTTATGCTAAAGATTATCTTATTATGCTAAAGATACTGGCTATCTAGAGCAGGAATAGACAAGTTCAAAGGAACCTAGCAGGCAAAACGGCAGAATTCCTCCATCAAAAGAATAAAATAAAGGAATGTTTGACTGCACTGTCTGGTTGGGTGTTCAATATGACTTAATGTGGTGCATCCTGTGTCTGGTCCAGGTAATTATCGGTAATGGTGGTTGACTCGTTGTGATGCAAGGAAAATACTTGATAGCCATCAGGCCTATGAAGCAATGCTGCTCAGCCTGCTCCTGACTCAACCATTCCTAGACGCAATAGTCGATGACGACATTGTCAGGACACATATTCATCTTGGGGGAGGACTGGGATGTGGGGTTGCTATTTGTATTCTGTACTTTATAGGGTTCTATGGGATTGCTGGATGGAAATAGTTTTCATGTACCAATATTTTTTTTCAGTATTCATATTTGTTTTGGCACTTTGGTTTGGACTTTATTTTTTATTAGGCTCTTAACTGGATTTTAATTATGTGTTACTGATGTTCATACTTTTTGGTAGATGGAGTATCTAACTATAGATGATCTATAAATATCTCCAAAAAAGTATCATTTTGTCCAGGGAGCCCCTGGTGGCACAGCAGGTTAAACCGCTGAGCTGCTGAACTTGCTGACCAAAAGGTCAGCAGTTCAAATCAGGGGAGTGGGGTAATTTATTATTTATTTATTTCAGCTACTTATACCCCGCCCTTCTCACCCCCGAGGGGGGACTCAGGGCGGCTTACAAAGGAAGGCACAATTCGATGTCTATGTCAAAAAATACATACATACATAAAAACAATTAAACAGTTAACAGATTAAAAACATCAATACATAACACAATAGTAAACAATCTCATGGTCAGTGTTCAGAGTTCCATAAATCCATTCCGTTACATCAATACCTGCCCATCATCAAGGTCTTTCCTTTTGCTGCCAGAATGTCCAAAAGCCTGGTCCCATATCCAGTGGGTAAGCTCCCACTGTTAGCCTCAGCTTCTACTAACCTGACAACATGCAAATGAGAGTAGATCAATAGGTACTGCTTCTGCAGGAAGGTAATAGCACTCCATGCAGTCATGCTGGCCACATGATCTAGGAGGCATCTACAGACAATGCTGGCTCTTCGGCTTAGAAATGGAGATGAACACCACCCCCCAGAGTTGGACATGACTAGACTAGTTTTCAAGGAGAAACCTTTACCTTTACCTATCATTTTGTCCATTAAGTTTTGAAAATGCCAACATAATTGATGCAGGATTATAGTATATCAAGAAAGCTTTTGAATCACAACTAAGAATGGTCTGATTCAGATGATCAGACCAATAATCTTTTTAGTCCAGGGGAAATGTTGCCCAAACTTTTTCAGTTCTCAAATCCCTCCAGTTTTTCCTACAAAGACACCAACCTCTCCTTTCCCTTTCTTTTTAAAATGCAAATTTGATTGTGGTTTTTCACTCCAAAGCGGAGCATAACTCCACCAAAATGGACAAAAACATATTGATGGAGGGCCTCTACCAGGGCCCTCCATCAGCCCCAAAATGGAAACTGAATGGCTGAAGTTTGTCAAAAGTGCATCCAGGAGAATTGCAGTCAAAAAAGTAACATTGAAAACTCTTTGCAGTGCTTCTGCTGAATAGATCTCCTCCTAAATATGAGATATTTGTTGCAATAGTGAAGTATTAGTGTGTTAACAGATATAGTATTGAAGAAACACATTATTGGCTGCTGGCCACCATTTTGCTATGGAAGAAGTATTGATATTCTTTTTCTAGTGGGACTTACTTCTATAATGTGAAGATGATATTTTTAAACCTATATCATCCATCATCTGCACCATAATGTCACTCTATATTTCATTCAGAAAAGGTCGTGTATGATGAGTACAAAACAGATAAATGTGGCACGCTGGGATGTCACTGGTAAGTATGTGTAGTTGTGGGGAAGTGGTGCTCTAACCTGTCAGAACATCTACTCACAAGTAAATATTTCAGCTTTCTGTTACATAAAACATGCTTGAAGCAAGCACTATCTCTCAGGAGTCCTGTTATTTTAAGGAATAATGTGGTAATATTAGTATCTCTCTATTGAGAAACTGCTGTGTCTGCTATGGATCACAGACTTGGAAGGGAGTGCCATCCAGGATCAAAAACAGACTGTTCCCAGTATGTTTTGGGACAAAATTTGGCCTTCAAACAATGCTGGTTCAGAAGACATAAAATCCAGCACTTTAAAAAGAAACTTGAGGCGTCCCTTGTAAAACAATGAAACTAAAAGGAGACTTACGAATTCAGAGAGGGTCATTTCACAGAAGATAACTCCTTTAGCCTATAAAGCCATAAATGATTCCAGCTCAGCTTACCTGTCCTAATGTATCTCCTCCTATGAACCAACACTGAGATTAAGATCAGCTGGGGAGGCCCTGCTCTTGGTCCCACCACCTTCACAATCGCGACTGGTGGGGATGAGAGACAGAGCCTTCTCAGGGTGGCCCCTCATCTATGGAACTCCCTCCCCAATGAAATCAGAACAGCCCCCTCCATCCTGTCTTTTAGGGAAAATAACTTAAGACATTATGTGGCCAACCATTTGGTTATGGGGCCAACCATTTGAGCAGTAACTATAGCAATTCAATACTTGAGATCTCTTAAAGTGACGGACTAATGAACTGATCCTGGACTACAATTTTGAACTTGTGTGATTTTAATCACTGTTTCAACCATTTATGTTTTATGTATTGTCAAAGGCTTTCATGGCTGGAATCACTGGGTTGTTGTAGGGTTTTCAGGCTATATGGCCATGTTCTAGAAGCATTCTCTCCTGACATTTCACCTGCATCTATGGCAAGCATCCTCAGAGCTTGTGAGGATGCTTACCTCTGAGGATGCTTGCCATAGATACAGGTGAAACGTCAGGAGAGACTGCTTCTAGAACATGGCCATATAGCCCAAAAAACCTACAACAACCCAATTTATGTTTTATTCCCAGTTTTAATTGTAATTGTTATTTTTGGGAAACTGTTTGCTTGTTGGGCATCAAATTGTTGCCGGTTGTGAGGCTGTCCTGAGTTCCCTATGGGTGAAAACAAGTATGGGAAATAAATAAATATAGTGATAGGCAGATAATTTTTATCCTGTAGTGTAGATCTTTATTTCAGTTATGATTTCAGTGTTGGTTAGAAGATGTTGCACCATATATATGGCATTCCAGGTGCTGGTTGTTGGGAAGGGAAATGTCCTAACAGTTGATGTTTCTACTAAACAGCCTGAAGTTTTGCTGTCATGCAAACTGCTGAGTGACCTGGTTGTCTTTCATGTTAAGAGGGTGAACAAATTAAAAGGAAGAGAGTAAAGGAGGCCAATGTGCCCCCTCTCCCTTTTGGGTGGAAAGTGAATCCATAGAGGCTTTCAGTATGTTTAGAAGATTTAGGGAGTAAAGCCATGTAATATAGTGATAGGCAGATGTTTTCCATATGTTGTCAGCATGAAACTTCAATCACTCCAGGGCCAGCTTGTATGGCGTTTCATGTTATAGATTTCTCTGTGAAGGCTGGCTTCAAATTAAATTGTGCACGCACATCTTCAAACACACTCTCCAAGCTGTGAGACTATTTTGTCCTGGTTGTTCTCTTTCATTTTCCATGCTTACCCAGCTCCTCAGTCCCAAGAAATAGCATCCTAACTGGTTATATTTCAGTTTCCCTTTGTGCTGATTGTATTCTTTTCAAAACCGAATATTTTTTCCAGATTTCTGTTTAATACAGATTTCTTAAATCCATGAAATAATGTTAGGGGAGGGTCTTAAAATACAATGATTTGCCTTACTTTTTATGCTTATTTAGCAGTCATTTTGATTTAGTGCTCAATTAAATATCCTAATTTTTGAAAATTCAAGTAGGTTTGCTTTATGCACCAGACCATATTTCCTCATCTAGTCACATTCCGCATTAGATAATGTTTTGATTTCTTGATGCAATGTATTTTGTTTCTTTTCTTCTGCCATATGTTTCAGCACAAACTTTGATTCCTGCAAATATCATTTCTAGAAATCCTGATTTTTAGCTTTTCAGTTTGAAAGACTGGGTTGGCACATCATTTATGTGACTCTTTTACCATCTCATTTTCTTAACAGGGAATTCCATGTTGTTACGGGTATTACCCTCTTTGTATGAAAAACAGTCTCATACAATTAACAGTCATCTGAAGGAACTTGTAGCACTGATGTCGTATCTAGAACAGCCTGAACAGCATCACCTTTTACGACTTTTGCTGACAGTTGCAAAGAAAAAGCAGCCAGAGGTAATGTCAATTAGTTCCAAATTTGTGCAGCTCAATATGTGTGACTTTCAATTCAAAACAGTCTACTTTTGATTGCTGTTGTGTGCCTTCAAGTCATTTCCAACTTATAGTGACCATAAAGTGAAGCTATCACAGGATATCTTGGCAGGTTTGTTCAGTGGGGATTTGGCCTTTGCCTCTCCTCTTAGTCTAGGAAAGTGTGACCTGCGTATTTTTATGGTTGATATGGGATTCAAACCCTGGTCTTCAGAGTTGTAGTCCAACACTCTAACCCAGGCATGGGCAAACTTTTTAACTTGGGGGCCACATGACGGGCCGGAGTGAGGTGGGTAGGCCAGGGAGGAAAGGGGGAGTCCAAGGGTGTGTGTGTGCAGTGGGGTGGGGAGAGTTTCACACACTGCAGCTTGTCTGGTCCATGGCAATGCCCAGGAAATTGTGTTCATCAGCATCAGCCCTGGGAAAAACCTCTTCCTGGCCTGCACCTTGGTCTCATGTCACATTGTAGGGGCCTGCCTTATTCAGGTAGAGATAAACCAAACAAATACCCAGTTTGTATCAAGCAGTTTCATTAAAACAGCACTTACTTTCTGGCTGTTTTAATAGTCCAAAATATAAAAGATAAAGATTGCACTCAGCCACAGAATATAAAACAAAAACAGCAAAAACTGTTGCAGGTTCAAGATAGCTCCGTAGTCAAAAGGTCCCGTCCAGTGGTAAAATGCCAAGAGTTTGCTGAGTGGCAGAAACAGCCAGAGGGTGAGAACTCTACCTAAGACCCGTCGCAAACTCTGTTCCTGCAGGAGCAAACCTTGCTAGCATGTCCCTGACGTCATGAGACTCCGCCTCTCGCCCCGCCCCTTTCTCCGCCTCTTTCTCCTTGCGAGAGTGGTTTTTCCTTTGCTAGGGCAGCATTGCCAGCGTACTCTCTCAGTTGGCAGAATTCAACTGAGAGAAAATGCAGGCAATGCTGCCCTAGCAAAGGAAAAACCACGCTGGCAAAGAGAAAGGGGCGGAGAAAGGGGCGGGGAGAGAGGCGCAGGCTCATGACGTCAGGGACGTGCTAGCAAGGTTTGCTCCCGCAGGAACAGAGTTTGCGACGGCTCTTAGAACTCCTGCCTGGGGCCAGCCTTTCCAAACATACTGGGCGTGGCCCCCACAGCTGTGCCATCTCACCTGACGCCAGCAGCAGATAAAACATCTAGCACTAGACCCAGAGCCTGCTTTGCAATCCAACTATGTTAAGCCAATCAATAAGATCTTGGCACTATAGGACTTTTACCAACATGGATAGAGACACCTTACCATCACGAGAAAAAACACCCCCCATCTGCCTCCCAAAGGACCTCATACCACAGTTTATACCCTGCCCCTCACCTCCTGCCCCCCGTGACACTCAGAAACACCTATCACCAACAACAACTGCAGAACATGATACATGACATCTCTCCTACCACGAGACTCAGCTGCTCCTTGCCAGTACACTACTTCTTGACCTCTGCTCCCAGTGATAAGGAGAGTGTCTCCTCCTTTTTCTCCTCCTCCACTAAGGCAGGACAAGGGCTTGTGCAAACACAAACTGTAGGGCCAGGACTGGGAATAATGATGGAATGATAAGTTTGTGATTGTATGTCTGTATGCCCCTGTGTGTGTGTGTGTGTGTGTGGCCATGGTTACTTTGGATCATTTTGCATTTTGGAAAGGATTAGTTATTGTTGTTGTTTTTGTAATGGTACTCTCCTATTGTGTGATGGTAGGGATTAGATGTCGTTGTTGTTGTTAATTGCTGTCAAGTTGGTGACCCTTACTATGAATGATAAACCTCCAAGCCACCATGTTATCACCAGCATGCCTCAAGGCTTCTTTGATTGATGTTATCCACCTGCAACACAGCCTACCTTGCATTCTACCAGGCATTATTGTACAAACCCATGAGTACTTTGTTCAGCAGCTAGCAGACAAGACAATTGTCTAATTTTATTACTTTCCTCCCCAAAACAAAATGTTAAAAATTCATACTAGGTATGTCTATATACACAGGTTGAACTAATAATAATCTTAAATAAACTTGAAAACAACTCCACTTATATGTTTTTATAACCACATAAAGCAGAGTTAATTTAATTCTTGCAGATCAGCTCAGTATACGAAGTATCAGGTTTCTTTTTTCAGTGGTAGTTAACAAGTTTGTGCAGTAAATGCTAGAAATGTTTTCAGCAAATGCTACCAAATAACCTTATATTAACTGCCAAGTCATGGTTGAAAAGCTTAGCAAATGTATTGTACATATTGAGGCAACAAGGAAACGGGCAGGATATACCTGCATGACAGCTACTTTAAAGGTAAAGGTATCCCCTTGACATTAAATATAGTTGTGTCCAACTCTGGGGGGTGGTGCTCATCTCTATTTCTAAGCTGAATAGCTGGCGTTGTCCATAGACACCTCCAAGGCCATGTGGCCGGTATGACTACACGGAGTGCCGTTACATTCCTGCCGGAGCAGTACCTATTGATGTACTCCAATTTGCATGTTTTTGAACTGCTAAGTTGGCAAAAGCTGGGGCTAACAGTGGGGAGCTCACCCTGATCCCCAGATTCAAACTTCCGTAAGTTCAGTAACTCAGCGGTTTAACCCGCTGCACCACTGGAGGCTCCTACAGCTACTTTAGTTAAATGTAAATCAAGGCAGCTGTTTAGTTACATTTGAAAAACATGAAAGGAAAAGCGTTACTTTAAAATTGTGACTATAATACTTACTGTTTTTATGAAGCTTGGAATGACAACTGTAACGATTGCTTTCCAATGTAACCTTCCAAGCACTGAGTGCTTTATTGGATCAGAAGAGATTTAACAGGGTTTATAGAAGTATCATCATTAACAAGATAAATGTAATAGTTTTCCAATTTTTAAAAAGGCACAAAGCATAATCTGCCATAATCAAAACATTAGTCATTAAATTCTGTGTGTAAATCCGATTTCTTCTGCAAAGACGCAAGGTATTTTAGAGTCATATTTGGAACCAAGCCTGGTGAATAATTGCCAGCATATGAGTGGGCAAAATAAACAATGCAGCAGAAATATTTTGTGTTTCATCTATGATCCGCCCAGTTACACAAGCAGGAAGTTTATGAGGCATCGAGCATTGTAACAAGGTACATGGATACCTAATTTATGGAGTATAAATTCTAGCAATCTTTGAGAATTTTTTAATGAAAAAAATACACCCTGGAATTTAATATGCATCACTCAGTACAGGCAAGGGAACTCTTTCAAAATATATGGTTTCAGAGGAAATATAACTCTTTCTATAAACCAAACTTTCCAGCTTGAAGAGCTTTGGTTTGGAGCCTAGGTCACATGACACCTTTTCAATGTAATTCCCAGTCTCTTGTTAATACTGTTTTCTGTAGCTTTCCAACTAAGAGACATGTTCTGTAAAAATGAAATCTGACTTTTTCAAAGGTTAAGCAATGCACAACGTCAGCAACTAGTATTCTGTAGCAGAAAAAGAACTTGACTTGGACAAACACAAGGAAGCTGAACTTAAAACACTTACTGAGGTTTTAGACAGAATGTTATCTTTTAACAAATGGTGTATCTACACAGTAGAATGAATGCAGTTTGACACAACTTTGCCATGCTCAATGCTATGTAATCAGGGGGATGGTCGTTTGGTGAAATATCAGAACTGTTTGCAAGAGAATGCTAAACAAATAATTTTCAGGTCTCAGGGAAATCCCAGCATAAATAATATTATATCAGTAACAAACGTATTATTTGAGAACACAGAAATGCTGGACCACTCTAACAACTACCATGTCAAACTACACAGAGAAGCCACTGAAATCCACAAGCATGTGGACAATTTCAACAGAAAGGAAGAAACCATGAAAATGAACAAAACTTGGTTACCAGTATTCAAAAAACCTCTAAAATCATAACAGTAAATAAAGAATGACACTCAAAAACAGGGCAATTCCAGACAAGAAATGATCAGGGACAGCTAATCACCTATCAACAAAGGATCCCCCAGGCAGTAAGAAGCCAGACTTTGAAACTGCTAGGCCATTAAATGCTAATCAAGGTTGCCAATTGAAAAATTCACACCTACCTCCAACAGAGAGTTCTTTCTCCAACCCTGGACATTCCACAGATATATAAACCCCATTTTCCCAGTTTCCAACAGACCTCACAACCTCTGAGCCTGCCATAGATAATACTTCTGGAACATGGCCATACAGCCCAAAAACTTATAAAAACCCATTATCTACAGATTTTTTTAAAAAATTACCCCACCCTCAAGTCATGATCTCTCACAGAATCATTAGCAACTTGTCATGGAAGTCTAGGACTCCAAATAACTTGGTTCAGAAAAACTTATCTAGATGGAAATTCCCTATAATGGGCCCCTGTCATTGGTTAGCCCCTTGTAATGAAGAGAGGAGCACCATACATATAGATAAATATTTATTTTAGAGTCAGATACTGGGAATTCTACAGAAAATGTATGAAATGGGATAGGACGGGGAGAGATAACAGTTCTGTTTTCTTCAAGCAACTGAGTTGGGCCTAACCATTCTACTTCCTTTTCTCCAGCTTGGAAACTGTCCCACTTCCTTTCTTCTCCTAATTTGTACACATGTGTCTTGATTTCCACATCTGGATGCATTATATAAATGATCCCAGTGCATATTTTTGACTATTTAGATAATGCATTTTTATGCAGTTTGATCTCCAAACCACTGGTTTCTTCTAATCACGAGCAGGATTCACCATGGCATTCAAAATTTGCTTCCTTTAGTATGCATGTCTTGCATAAAACTCAAACAGATGTATTTATGTTATTGTACAACAGAATGATTAAACATGTTTCATATAATGTTCAGATAAACTGTCACATTATAATGCATTATATCGTCCAATCCCTATGCCATGATTTTATGGAATGTCTATAGGAAAATTAATGTGACACATTGTCAGACTCTCATGGCTGATCATGCGTGGTCGAATATGATTGTCTTCCAAGAGTAGAGTCTTGGCAGTGGGTCCATAAGTGACTGTGGAGATCTATTCTGAATCGGTATGAACTTTTGCAATGAGGACATATATTTCCAGATGGACGGTGGTCATGACAAGGTGGTTTGCTTGGTGCATCTTCCACTTGGCGTGTTTCCTCCTTTTGCCCTCTATTTGTTCCTCTTGAAAATCCATAGCACCATTGGTAACAGCTCACCTCCAACCGTTACAATGCTCGAGTGCCGGGGCTTCCCAGTTCCCAGTGTTTATACCTCAAAGCTCACCATTAAATTCATTTTGTTATCCACCAACTTTCCGTTTTCCAGTTGAGAATAAAGTAACTGTCAGACATTTGAACAATGTGGCTTTGCTGTCAGGCTCTACAACGATGTCCATAACGATAATATAATGTCTACAAGTCTGTGACCAGCATTAAGTCATTAGGTCATTATGCAATTTTACAGAGTATTTTTTATTGCCACCCATGTTATGTTGCTGAGTTTCAAGTCCAAATTTCAAACAAAGGGCAAGAAGCTAAAACGTCAGTCAGATCTAGTTAATTTAGGAACTAATGGCAGACTGTTAAAAATATGATTATTTTAAAACGTTGCAGTCATCACTTCCGAGATCAAATGTCAAAATTCCAAATAGGGATACGAAAGAGGGATGCAGGTAACTCATTGGGAAATTGTAACTGGACTAACTATAAGCAAAATAATTGATATGCAGTGATTTATCAAGAAATAATTTAAAAACATAAATAATAAATCAGGAGACAGCTAAAGCACTGCTGAGATTCCTGAGGTTTAAAAAAGGTTGGAAAATAGGAGAGGGCTTACCAGGAATCATGTAAAATTCCTAAAGTAGAAAAGGAAGATGGATGACAGGGAAACCAGAAATTTCTCACGAACTCTTTTGGAGATATTAGATATATACCTTGACTACATATATACAACTAATAGCTCCACAAAACCCTAAGAATCCTCTTTTAAATAATGTCATTTGGGCCAACCAATGAATGTTTGATATATTTCATTGCAACTTTTATGCTTTGATAGATGTTGCAGTGAGAGGCTAGCTCAGTAATTTTATTGTTTGTGCCTGCAATGATCGTTAGGGTTTGGGGAATTTCAAAAGTATTTTTTATTTTTATTTTTAATGGGTTTTTTTCATTCACTCAAGACCTTAATTGAGCCCCCCCCCCCAAACTGGTAAAATGTCACATAGTGAAAAACCCAATAATTCAAATGCACAGATGATTTTCCTTTATTGTGAAATAGTAAATGTATGAATGTATAACATCAGTCAGTAGTCTATCCATGTGCTTGTGCAGAATTGAACTTCCAGTGGCTTTTTTCTGAATTCCTTATTTTTGCATGAATTCTTACTTTATTTTCCATCTGTTTTCCAGGTACTTAAAGAATGCATTCCTTCTCTAATCAGTCACCTAAGAGATCCCCATCACAATGACCTCATCCTAAATATACTGATAGAAATATCAGACTATGAACCAGAAGTATTGGCTGATTTGCTTCCTGTATTGAAAGAGATTGGAGACAGTTTTCCAAATCTAATTGGACAAACAGCAAAGATCTATGGAGCTGTTGGACATGTTGACGAGGTATGGAATAGGTTGCCTGGGAAGAATCAATTTCATAAACTTTTAGTTGTCTTGTCCTTTAATAGTCCCAACATAAGAATACACATATCATCAGCCAGGAAAAAGTCAAGGAAACAGAATAGTTGAGTTGCAAAATGACAATGGCTTTTTAAACCATTGACCAAAAATGTAGCCTATGGGGTTGTTGTTGTTGTTGCTGCTGCTGTTGTTGTTGTTATTATTATTATTAACTTTATTTCTCCCCACCGGGGGGGGGGGGGGGGGGGGGGAAGGCAGCTAACAATCCCACTCTTTGGTCATAGTTTTAAAAGTACAATAAACAAATTAAAAACCAATTAACTAATACAATATGGATTAAAGTAAAAACAGATCAAAATATAATAAATATTCTTAAAATAGCCTTTAAAACTCACATCTCTCCCCCTCCCCCCTCAGAATACCACCCACACTTCCACATTGGCATGCACCTTATACTTCAGCAAATGTCTGCTGGCAGACAGTCTTGATGCCTATTTCTTGTTTATTCATTTTTTTCGTTTCCAACTCTTTGTGACCTCATGGACCAGCCCATGCCAGAGTTCCCTGTCAGCCTCACCACCCCCAGATCCTTCAAGGTCAAGCCGATCATTTCATGGATAACATCCATCCATCTCCCTCTTCCTTTTTCCTTCCTTTTTCCCCAGCATCATTATCTTCACCAAACTTTCCTGTCTTCTCATTATGTGGCAAAAGTTCTTCATCTTCACCTCTAATATCCTTCCCTCCAGTGAGCAGTCGAGCATTATTTCCTGGAGTATGGACTGTTTGATCTTCTTGCGGCCCAAGGCACTCTCAGAATTTTCCTCCAACACCAAAGTTCAAAAGCATCTATCTTCCTTCGCTCAGCCTTCCCTATGGCCCAGCTCTTGCATCTGTAGATTATTACGGGGAATACCATTGCTTTAACTATGTGGATCTTGTTGCCAGTGTGATGTCTCTACTCTTCATTTTTTTTTATCATTGCTCTCCTTCCAAGAAGTAAGCATCTTCTGATTTCCTGGCTGCAGTCTGTGTCTGCAGTAATATTTGTTCCTAGAAATACAAAGTCTGTCACTGCCTTCACGTTTTCTCCCTCTATCTGTATGCTGCCCTGAGTCACCTTCGGGCTGAAAAGAGCAGGATAAAATTGTGGCAAACACATAAATAAATAAATATTTGCCAGTTATCAATCAATCCGGTTGCCATAATCTTGGTTTTTTTATGTTTAACTGCAATCCAGCTTTTGCACTTCATTCTTTCACCTTGGTTAGAAGGCTCCTCAGCTCCTCCTCACTTTCAGCCATCAAAGTGGTATCATCTGCATATCTGAGGTTGTTAATGTTTCATCCAGCAATTTTAAATCCAGCCTTGGATTCATCAAGCCCACATGTCACAAGATGCCTGTGTTATCTCATAATTTTTTATGAATTAAAATGATCTAAGAGCACCAAATGCTTATATCCAGAAAAGAATACAAAGCTAATGCAATGGCCAGAATTATATTCAGTTTTTTGTCTGCCAAAGCAAATCAGGAATAAGTAACAGATCACTGACAGCTAGTCTCTTTCATTTAAATGTAACCAAAATCCAAAGTGCTTTCAGGGTCGAAAGTAAGCTACCCACTTTTCCCCTTTCAGAGTTCAGTTAAACTCTTCATATCATTTTCATGGAGAAGAGAATATTGGTTATGTGCCTAAAGCAGGGGTTGGAGCAGGGCACAAATTCCTATGTTGTAAAGTCTGAGAGGTGACACTAATTGTTTGATAAGTCAAACTCCCAATGCCACTAAAGCTTTAAACCAAATCAATTTTGCTTCAGTGAAAAGATCACAAGCAGGATTCACCATGACATTCAAAACTAGTACGTGCAACTTCAATAAGGAGGTTATGTGCCTGCAACTGTGACAGGAACATTGTCTTTGCCCTAAAGTTATGACTGGAGTACTGCTACTCTAAAAGCACGGAGAGCTTATCATCTACCTGCAAAAAGACAAAATATCTTGGATGGAGACATACAAAGAACTACTGTGTCCTAAAATGTAAAAGATCTCTCTTCACCTCCTGATAACCTCATCACTATAGGAACAGCACTATGCTATTGTGGATAAGAAATTCATAGCACAAGCTTTTTCATGTGGTCTCAGAACAGATTAAAGAAATAGAAAATGAAAACATTGGCCATCTGTTGGGAGCACTTTGATTTTATGTCCCTGCATGGCAGGGTGTTGGACTGGATGGCCCTTGTTGTGTCTTCCAACTCAACGATTCTAACCTGTATTCTGCTCCCTGAAAGCAAAATGCTGTGTGTCACATTCATGTAGAGTATCCTAATAAAGGCTCTTCAGGAAGCAATTCTGACCCAGAGCTGACCCACCTAGGGGAAGTGCAGTGTGCTTATTTCCATACTGTGCTTTTCCTGGCATGGGTCATCTCTGAACCAGAACCAGTGCTTTCATGTAAGAAACCCAGGGGATATTTTCATCAATTCCTGTGAGAACATCAGGAGCTGTTCCCTAACCATATGTTGGGCCTGCTTCATTGTGTTAACAGCACTTCCAGTTCCTGCGGTTTAGTTGTTAGGCTATTTAATCCTCTCCAATGCCTCATAGCCTTCAGGCAAGGCAGCTGGAAGGAGTCAATAATACTGTATCAAGCTGTATTTCTGTATGTGCAAAATGGGTAATCTCACGGACAACTAGTATTTGGTTTTCCTTGATTGCTGAAGATTGTTGTTCAGTGGTCATCAGTGGTAGATAACGCCTCCAGTGTGGTTTGGTGGCTTTATATCTCAGTGAAGGAGGGCAGCATATGTTCTGGCAGCTGGTTGGAGTGTGTTGTGTTCTTTTGAAGGCGCTGATCCTATTTTAGGAACAGGCATTGTTTGTCTGTGGAGAGATCAATAACTGGTGGCCATCACCTCCTTTGCTTAAACCCACTGTAGAGCAACATTACACTGTATGTTGGCTTTGATAATATATTCCTGCATTGCAGCGGGTTGGTGCCAGTTTCTGGTAGTCTTGTATGCGGATCCTGGAATACCTTCGTGATTGAGCTTTTGGATCTAACATGGAACAAAACCCTCCCCAATATGTGTGTGTATTAAAGCTCTTCTACATGTTTTCCATCTAAAACAGTGGTTCCCAACATTTTTTTGACCAGGGACCACTTTGACTAGGGACCATTCTCCAACATTAATACCAAAAGGATTACAAATCAGTTTTTGGTAAACTTTAGATTCAGTTTGGGATGCTGATTCCGAAAATTGCATTGGATAGACCACATCAGCTCTAGTTTCTGATACAGAACATATACCATGGTCAGCGACAGGGAAGGAGTGACAGGAAGCATGAAAAGAGCGTAAATAAATAAAATAACATAAATAAAGAGGAAGGAGGCTCACGGACCAGATTTTCATCCCCCGGCCCACAGGTGGTCCATGGCCCACAGGTTAAGAACCACTGATCTAAAACTAATGGTCATATTCAGCTACAAGACTGGTATTTGGTGTAATGTGAAATTTTATCATGTGACTGTGTGTGTTTCTCTCTCCATGCAAGCATGGAGTGAATGAATTACATGTATAACCCTCAAATGCATTTTTTTTAAAAGCAGGAACTTGACTTTTTAAAAGCAGGATAAATTGACTCACTCACCAAATCCATTAATTTCCTCTAATCGTAAAGGGTCGGGCACTGCTCCAGTTAGATAGGAAAATATTTCCTTAAAAACACAAGGACCCCTCCTCTCCCCCCTCCCCCCCCAAAAAACCCCTTCACCTCAAAGGCCACATGTAAGTTACGGGAGCATAGAATATTGAGAGAAGTTGAATGTCTGTTTTGGCATTTTCCTCTCTTCATATTTTATGATCTGATATGAAATACAAACATTAAATTATCATTGATATTTTGACCCTGGAAGTATTTGTGGACAATATTATTCCTCATCATGCGTATCTTGCTTCACCCCATAATGTGTCTTGAGTATCCTGTAGAACGAACTGTGATACTTTGTTCTGCAGACTGTCATGTGGTGGCTTACAGACAGTATCTACAAATAATAAATCTTGCTTTATGAGAATGTAGCCATTGGCAGAACTAACTGAAATATTGTAAGCTTTCTGATAAATGACCTGCCGTCAGACTTGAAGTTTCATTTCTGATGGCTGTTGCAAGAGAAACCCTAAAGTAATTCAGTGAAACTTTAGCAAGATATTTGTAGAGTGTATTAGACACAGTCTTTAGTATAACATATATAATAGGGGCATAGTAAAATGAAAAGGAGCTCGATGAAGAAACTATATGTGTCTTTGTGGCACAACTTTTGATGACATTTCCTATCCAGTGGTTTGCCATTTAATATTGAGGGCATGATCCTGGGCAGAGTTAAGTGTGTTGAAGGCCATAGAAATCAATAGAACATACTTAAATCTGTGCTGGATTCATGCCAGAGACCTACGTTTCTGTAAAGGCTGGAATATGACTTGGTTTCTCCCATGTTTTTATCCATTCAAGCTCAGCTGGGAGAAAAAAGGAAAATATTATCTTCTCTCCCTGCAAAACTGAATGACTGCTGAATTATTGGAAGCATACTGGCCATTACATAATGTCCCTACAATGTGTTAATAGGGTACTTGCTGTCCTCGTGCATGCACTGTGAGAAATTGCAACAAAATCCTCACCTTTAATATTGCGAACTGTGCTCACAGATTTTCAAGTGAAACCGAAGCTCTGTATTACAGTGCCAATTGAGTGTTAACATTATATCTGTTTTCCTGTTTCCTTGAATGTGTGTCGTGATCCCTTTAAGTGTTTACTTGATGTTGCTAGGTATCCTGTTTGCATTGCCCATTTAAATATCCTTTCTCAGATTACTGTAAATTTGAAACAATGTAATCATTTATCCTGACCAATTAATATTGGGGGGGGGGGGTTGATACATCACATAAAAGGAAGAGTTTGAAAGTCTATCACTCTTCGTCTACAG